TTATGGAGTACAAAAAGTACTCTTACCAATAATACAGTCCATACTTTCTTTCATCACAAATTACATCCCAACATATTTCCTAGTTAGCCCTGTCTCACACATTCTTTGGGTTCCTGTATCCAATCAGAAAGGCTTATCCCCCAGCACTTCGTTTTAGCTTTAAACCATTCAAATGATCTAACTTGAACTACGTCAAAAACTTTCTCTACATCAGGGACCTTGCCATAAAAAATGCAACGATTTCTAGCCCCCCATAGTACCCACACACATGCAAACCAAATAATCACCCAAGCTTCCCTTACTGTCCTATCTGGATGAGATTTATGTGCTGCTCAAACCCCTCTCAGCAACTTCCAGCCCTCGCTGTTCTAATACCCCACCACATCAAACACTTAATTTCCCTATAGAGCAAATGAAAATTTACAGTGTGGGAATAGGTGAGCCGCCGTTTCCATCCCCTCATTACATATTCCGCGTTTAGTCATATCATATTGTAGTAAAATACCTCTCTTGAAAAGGTTAAATCTACATGGGATTCTGTCTTGAACCAACTGCCAGACAAAGGCATTCACCTTGCTGCCCCAGAGTCCCATGCTATATATCTTCTGCTAATCTACTCCACCGTTTGCCAAGCGATGCTTAGTTAAAAGGTCTAAGGTCTTTCATTCCTGGTTAAATACTAATTTGGTCCCTCAACTTTATGGAGTTGCACTTTTTTGGTCCCTTAATTATTTTTTGTACTTTTTTTATCCCTCAACTCTAAAAACTACACAATTTGGATCCTTCCATCAGTTAACTATGACATAACAGTTAACTAATTCCAAATGGCATTTTCTTTTAGTTCTTTTGATGATGTGGTGATGATGTGGCGATGATGTGGCAATGATATGTCCTATAATTAAGTTATGTGGACAAATAAAAATGTCACATCATATTAATATTTATATTTTTAATTAAAGTAAATTAAAAACAATAAAATTACAATATTACCCTCTCCCTCTCGATCCATCTTCTTCCCCCTCTTTCTTCCTCTTTCTTTCTCTTGCCTATTGTTGGGTTATTGTTGGGTTATTGTTGGGTTTTGTGAAATGGAACTCAGCAACTGGGGTTCGATGGAACCATTGAACCTAGATTAACTAGGTCCATGGAGCCCAGATCTATTGGGTTTTGTCGAACCTAGCTTTTGGGTTGATAAACCCAGTTGAACCCAAATCAATCTTGGCTTCTCTTCTGAATATGTCGAGAAGTAGTTTTTTAGTAACTCAAGGAGATGTGTCTAGTTTCCTGCAGTGCCTGCGGTTTGATACAAAGGTAGTTGCTGCTAATCATAAGTCTAATCATCAATGAGGCTTCAAAAAGGTCTTGAATATTGCACTCGGTATTTTAGCTTATGAACCTCCTACTTGTTCATCAAATGGCAAGTTGTTATCATCTCCCACACCAAAAAAAGTAAAATGGGTCAGGCATGGCTTATGTGAGAGCATTGTCAAGGCCAAGTAGTTCTTGTGAAATTTTGTAATTTGGATTCATTTGTGTTTGTTTATTAAATTTAATTAGATAATAGGGAACGAGTGAAGATTTTTAGTGAAGCCTTATCTGTATTCAGCAAGTTTTTCATTTGGGTTTGATGGACCCAGCTGATCTGGGTTCCATCGAACATAGGCTTGGTTTCGCTGAAGCCTTCCTCTGTTTGTCAAGTTCCCCAGGTTTTTCATTCTTCTTGCTTTTTCCATTCCCAGTTCTTAATAGGTTTTTTCAAATTTTGAGAGTTAATTTATGTTGACATTGTTCCTTTGTGAATTTAGGAGCTAATTTGTGGTTGATAAATTCCAAACCCAGTTGCTTGGATCGTTTACAATTTAATTGCATTGATGTTGGATTTGTGGTTCAATGACCAAATCTACTCATTCGATTGGTTCAACAAAACCTAAATTTTGTTGTGTTTAACCTTAGTTAGATTAAAGAGGGGAAGAAGATATATTGAGTTGAGATGAAAGAGCATTCTAGGATTTACAGATATTTTATCCCTTTATTAAATCTTTATAGGCAATGTGAGACCCATTTGAGTGGTCGACGTTTGATTTGTGTAAATATGATATGGCATAAAATTTTGCTCATATCAGCACCTTTTTAAGTTTTCTTCTCTATGTCATTAGAAAAAAAAATATATATCACGTGTATAGACTTAACAGCACAAACTAATGGAAGGATAAAAATTGTACAGTTCTTATAGTTGAGGGATTAAAAAAGTGTAAAAAATAGTTAAGGAACCAAAAAAGTGCAACTCCATAAAGTTGAAGGACCAAAATTAGCATTTAACCTTTATTCCTAAACCACCCTCCTCTCTTTTTTTACAGACTCTAACCCATTTAATCCAATTAATGCTCCTATTCTCCTCACACCCGCCCCAAAGAAACCCCTTTCTTATTTTATCGATGCTAGAAATCACACCTTTAGGTAGAAGGTATATAGACATTAGTAACACGGACAGTGAGGACAGCACAATTGATGAGCGTTATCCAACCTCCCATAGATAAATGCTTCGCTTCCAACTGGACAACTTTTTCATATAAGTAGCAATCAGATCTTTCCAGAACCCCAACCTCCTGGGGTTTCCGCCGATTGGGACACCCAAATACTTGAATGCTATTTCACCTTTTTTGCAATTTAGCCAGTATGCCATTCTTGTTAACCAATATTCCTCGTCTACATTTATCCCCATCAATTGGCTTTTTGAGTAATTAATCTTTAATCCTGAGACTACTTCAAAGCTTCTCATAATTCACTTTAATTATCATCCAAATATTCTCCCCCGTAGCCTTGCCAAAAAGCAAGATATAATTAGCAAATTGTAAATGGGAAATACTTAATTCACCTTCCCGGCCCCAATTCCTACACCTTCAAAGAGCTTTCATGTCACTGCAGACATAATCAATCCATTCAATCCCTCTGCAACAATTAATAGCATTGTTTTGATTCTATTATTTCCACATTTGTTTAAATTTTGTATGTGTGTTAAGTCATGTTTCATTAATTTTTTTTTTTATCAACAAAGGAAAATATTATTAAAATGAAGTACAAAGGTACTTCTGCACTTGACAGAACAAGACAGTTAAAGCATGTAAGGCAGCACAATCAACATAGTCCAAATAAAACTACCCCATGATTCAGCATCATTACCTTCACCTTTCTCCTGGTTATGCTTTCCAATCCCATGGGAAAACTAGATCAATTAAGCGTCCCCCTCAGTGTCATTTTACAAGCTTTAGCCGGATTTTCATACCATAAGTCTTTAGAGATTTCCGGCCAAACATAAGCTTTGAGCCATTGGAAAGTTTGGTGTTTAATCACCTCAATAATCTTGTACTGATGGTCAGAGGTTATCTTGAAGACATTTTGATTTCTCCACAGCCAAATATTCCATATAGCCGCAAACCAAATTACCATCCACGCTTTCCTTGTAGGCTTGTTATTAAATAGCCCTTCATGCTGAATCAAATGGTTCCAGCCTCTGTCTTGGGATACCACACTAATACCCCACCAATTATAGCAAGAAGACCACACATTCCATGCTTGTGGACACATGAACAACAGGTGGTCT